TTCAACAAGGAGAAATGCAAAGTGCTGCACCTGGGGAGGAAAAATGTCCAGCATACCTGCTGCCTAGGAAATGACCTGCTTGGAGGCACGGAAGCGGAAAGGGATCTTGGAGTCTTAGCGGACTCCAAGATGAACATGGGTCGTCAGTGTGACGAAGTTATCAGAAAAGCTAATGGCACTTTATCGTGTCTCAGCAGGAGTATGACGAACAGAACCAAGGACGTGATACTTCCCCTCTATCGGGCGCTGGTCAGACCGCAGTTGGAATACTGCATGCAATTTTGGGTGCCGCACTTCAAGAGGGATGTGGATAACCTGGAGAGGGTCCAGAGAAGGGCCACACACATGGTTTAAGGGCTTGCAGGCCAAGCCCTATGAGGAGAGACTAGGGCACCTGGACCTCTTCAGCCTCCGCAAGAGAAGGTTGAGAGGCGACCTTGTGGCTGCCTATAAGTTCATCACAGGGGCACAGAAGGGAATTGGTGAGGCTTTACTCACCAAGGCGCCCCTGGGGGTTACAAGAAATAAAGGCCACAAGCTAGCAGAGAGCTGATTTAGACTGGACATTAGGAGGAACATCTTCACAGTTAGAGTGGCCAAGGTCTGGAACGGGCTCCCAAGGGAGGTAGTGCTCTCCCCTACCCTGGGGGTCTTCAAGAGGAGGTTAGATAGGCATCTAGCTGGGGTCATCTAAACCCAGCACTCTTTCTTGCCTATGCAGGGGGTCAGACTCGATGATCTATTTCGGTCCCTTCCGACCCTAACATCTATGAATCTATGAATCTACACCTAACCTGACTTTCAGTAAGTTGACTCTTACTGCTTCTAAATAAAAAATATAGCACTTTCCCATAAATTTCCAATTAATAAAGCCATAGAAATGAAAGAACACAGACACACACACTTATTTATTTATTCTCCAAGCAGTTCATATCCTAAAAGTCTACAGTATACTACTTTACTTCTGGTCACTAAAGCTAAAGACAATAAAAGCTCTTTGTTACATACCTTGTATCAAGTCTTTGGCCTCTTGAGAGACATTCTTCCAGGCTTCTCCTTCAAAGGAGAATTCCCCCTTTTTAATTTTCTTCATAATTTCCAATGCACTTGTGCATGTTAAACTTTTATCTTGAGACTGGAAAGGCACCTGTCCTGATAGCATTGTATACTATCCAAAGAAAAAAAAAATATTCATTAGTACCGTATGTTCATTGCAAACCTTTGATAGAATATAACCGATAATATTAGTCCTGCTTAATATTAAATTACTGTTGTTCATAGCAAAAGAGTATATATGTACTGCAACTTGAAGAACATTAGTTAAATATTCTATTTACGTCAATTTGAAGAATTTTAGGTGCCTGAGGTCTGAAAAAATCACAGGACTTTATTTAGACATGGTTAGCAAAATAACTTTCATCCCTCAAAAGTACAGATGAAAACATGCACATTTTATATAACAGAAAACCTGTCTTCTCCTCCTGCTATTTGTACAGCCAAAAAATATCCTTATCCCACTCTGAAGCTGTGCTTATCCAATACAAACTTATTTGAGTCAATGCCAAGCCCTTCCCATACACTTGATTTAAAGTAATTCAAAAGTATCAAACTGATGTGTGTTATAAACTATTAAAATGCATTAAAGCCCCCAAATATCCACTCACCAAAATGACCCCCAAACTCCAGAGATCACAGGATTCATCATAACCACTGTGATTGAAGAGCTCTGGGGCAGCATAATGAAGGGTAAAACATGGAGTCTTAAGAGGCTGGTTATCAGGTGGTTTTAGCCGAGCAAACCCAAAATCAATTATTTTTATTTCTGAATTGTCACTTTCATCTGTGAACAATAAATTCTAAAAAGGAAACACAAAAATAATACTAAATTAAAATTGAAAGTTTAAAAATGTAGATTTAAAGTATACCCAAAGTGATCAGAATGCTTGATACTTGACACTTCTCTTGTATGTGTGAATATATCTGATTTCCTCATACTGCATTATAAACAACTTGTAACTCAGCTCTGATCTCAAATGAACAGAGACTTATCATCACATGACTTGTAAAAGCAGTTCTGTGGATGCACGCTGAGATTATTATTGAACATATTGTGCAATGTAATCAAGTCTAATCAAATCCTGTATCTCTTGTGTTTCACTAAGAAGCAGAAAAACATATCAGTGGTTAGAACCTAGGATGGTTAGAAAAAGAAACTGTAAACATTTAAACACTAAAACAGGAAAAGCATACTTCTTAAAAACAGAATAATTAATGTAAATGTGAAATATTTTACACTACCTCCTCTAAAAGGCATGAGTTAAACGAATTCATGAACTTCAGCATAAACGCACTGAACAAATTATGTGTGTCACACTCTTAAAATCACTTAAGGTTCACCCTGCAAAGGCTGGGTTTAGGGTGCACAGCATTTCTCTCAGACTATATTCTGCACTTTGCAGGACTGAGCCTCAAGTGAACCACTTCCTACCAGTAAAAAGACAGTAGAAAATTAAGCTGAGAAAATTCAGAGGCATAATAAAGTATTCCTTGTGCCAGTTTTCCAAATTTGTGTTATCTTTTATTGCTTCTCATATGTTGTTTTCCCTTGGAAAAGAAAACCTTCTTGACTGTAAACAGAGTTCTGTACAAGATGTATTGTCCTTGGCTATATTACACTGCAGAGGTGTTCCAGGAACCTATGACCAGATAATCTTTCCCATCACTGTGCCATACCAGAGGTAAAAGGCAGCAGGGAACCCATTAATCACTGCAGTTCTCTCTCTCACCCACTAATTCAGCAGATGATACAGGAATCCAAAGCAAAGGGAAAGGAGGATGGGTCATGGAAAACACATAAGGACAGTGTATCTTGAATTCCACTTACTGCAATAGTAAGTCATTTATGTTTTCTCAATTGCATCTCTCTTTGCGTATTCCACTATAGGCAGATCTTCAACAAGTCCCTCTCTCTATCTCTGCCCACAAAGTTCTAGGGACCCATGATTTTGGATGGGTTCTGGGGCATTTCATCAGAATAATCATCCTTCTGGAATGAGGCATCCGCATTGCCGTTGCAGACTCCTGGCCTGTAGGTAATTGTAAAATTGAGCCTACAAAAAAACCGGATGGGCGAGGGTGTCATTGGTAGAGGCTCTTTGCTGACCAAAGGTATTCCAGGTCCTTATGATCACTTATGTAGGACTTCTACAGGACGGTGGGCTCCTTTCAAGTGGTGGTGCCATTCCGTGAATGCCGCCTTGATAGCTAGAAGCTTTTTGTCCCAAATATAGTTGTGTTCACGGGCATCAGTTTCCTGGAGCAGCAGACACAGAGATGTAGTGGCTCCTGAGCCCTCCAACATTATGACAGTACTGCCCTAAATACAAAATTAGTCATCATCAGCCTCTACTGTGAATGGGAGGGCTGGGTCTGGGTGGACCAGGACTGGGGCACTGCAGAAGATTTCTTTCAAGTTGTCAAAAGCAGCTTGCAACCAGTCGAACTGCACCCCCTTTTTAATGTCATTATAGGGGCGACCAGGGGAGAGAAATGCTGGATGAACCTTCCATAAATGTTCATGAATCCCAAAAACCATAGATCTCTCTGCACTTCCCTTGGAGAGGGACAATCTAGTACTGGTGTCACTTTGCTGGGGTCTATTCGTAACTTCTCTGGGCTAATTATGTACCTCTGGAATTCCACACTGATGCAATCAAACTCACACATTTCCAATCTCATGTATAAATGGCTCTGAGAAGCCATTTTAAGACCAGGTGGATGTGCTGGTCTTGCTCTTCATTTTCAGAGAAAACAAGAATGCTGTCCAGGCAGACCACTACAAACTGGTCCAGGACATCCCACATGGCATTGTTAACAAAGTGCTGGAAGTGGCCAGTGTTCTGGAAAGGCCGAACAGCATAACTAGGTATTCAAAGTGTCTATACCTGGTGTGGAAGGTTGTCTTCTGCTCATTGCCCTGCTGGATGCAGACAAAGGTGTACACCCCCTTAGGTCCAGTTTTGTGAATATATCTGCTTGCCCCAGTGTCTCAAATAGTTCATTAGTGAGGGGAAATGGGTACTAGGCCTGTGTGAATAGGGAAGTATTCGATTTGGATTCAGATTCGGACGATTCAGAAGACAGTGATTTGATTCAGAGATTCAGATCACTGTCCTGAATGGATTTGGCCAAATCAGCTTTAGAAGATTCAGCACTGATTCAGAGAGATCTGGTGATTCGGCTCAACCGGGGAGAGCTGAGGGATCAGACTTAACTGATTTGGGTGAAACTACTTTATGAAACTTCTGTCCCAGACCCTTTTCTGGTTCAAGTTAAATCACAGTGCTCCAGCATCCCAGCATGCTTTTCAGACCAGGGCTGGGGTGGGCTATCTGCTTCAGAGAGCAGGGCTGGCTGTACCCCTCTGCTCCCTAGCTGGAGCAGTGATGGCTGGCTGAACGTTGGGAGGGGTAGGGGGTGGCAAGCCCAGCTGGGGATGCAGGGAGACTACCACACCCCCCACTACAAGCAAACCCCGACTGGGGTCTGGGAGCAGGAAGGGAGGTTAAACACCCCTTCCCCCACCCAAATTTACTGCTGGATGCAACTGTGGACTACATATCCCAGAGGCACCTAGAAGCAGGAAGAAGTGATAAGCAACCCTGCATAGTCCTGCTGCTGTAATTCTGGACTGCAAATCCCAGAGACCTTGGGGGCAGCATGAAGAGGAAGTGAACACACAGCTAGAGAGCTGTGCTCTAGCATCCCCCAGCTTCTGGCCTGAGCCACTGCAGGCATGTGGCTGCATTTCCTGCATCAAAGGTAAATACCTGTTCATTTCTGTTTCAATTTAATCTGTGTAGTTTAGACTAACTTGCAAAGACTGAATCAATTCAGCCTCGGGCTTTTTGACTGTCTGTTTTAGCCTTGATCAAAAGAAATTGTTTTCTAGGGGTGTGGCTTACTCCAGGATAGAATTCAAGAGAATGTAAGTAATTCCACTCCACCATATGAAAAATCTTTCTTTTCAGTCATTTCTGCAGTACGAATAAGAATGGCAGGAACCTGCTTTGATTTTTGCAGGTTTTAAAAATGCTTCAGGACTAGGAAGTGTTATTTGATTTTTAATGAGCAGTGGAAAACATCCAATAAATCTGAAGGAGTTTTGTGCACATAAGTAAGAGGGATCTGTGCGGCCCCTGTTATATATCAGTTCCTTCAAGACCTCAAACTCAGCATAAGAAGGTGAGATTAGAACAGCTGTCTTGTCTAGCAAAAAAGATAAGATACCAGTTGGTTCTGATTGATTCCATTCCTACTGATTCCTATTGATTGGCTGACCAGAGAAATCCAGAGCAGCCTACAGGCTAAAAGCGGGGCATGTAAAAAGTGGAAACGGGGAGAGATTACTAAAGAGGAGTATACCTCCTCTGCTCGTGCTTGTAGGGAGGCAGTTAGACAGGCCAAAGCTACCATGGAGCTGAGGATGGCATCCCAAGTTAAGGATAACAAAAAATTGTTTTTTAGATATATAGGGAGTAAAAGGAAAGCCCAGGGTGGAATAGAACCTCTACTAAATGGGCAGAAGCAATTGGTGACGGACAGGGGGGACAAGGCTGAACTCCTCAATGAGTTCTTTGCCTCAGTGTTCCTAAGCGAGGGGCAAGACAAGTCTCTCACTGGGATTGTAGAGAGGCAGCAGCAGGGCACCAGACTACCAAGCGTAGACCCTGAGATGGTGCAGAGGCACTTGGAGGAACTGGATGCGTTTAAGT